ACTAAATAAAGAGATACATATAGAAATCTTTTTTTTATTATTCAATGTTGGTAGCAGGATGAATTTAGGAGTCAGTAGCTGTCAAGTTAAAATCAGTGTATATTTTGTCACTTTGTCAGTGGAAGATGACAAAGTGAAGATGACAAAGTGAACGGTGAAAACAGGTATTTAGAAATGACTCATTTCAAGAAGCAGATTATAATTATAAATCTAACAGGATAGGGAAAACACAGAAAACTTGTACAGTTAGATTGATCAGATCAGTATGCAAAGCCATTTAACAAAAAGGGTGTGAGAAGAGTGACAAAACAGTATAGTTTAGATCTTTTTTTTCTTAACCAAGGAAAATCTGATCATGTTTCTCTATAACAATAATAATAAACTTTATTTTATGTAGTACATATCCAAGCATCTCAAAACAATATAACAGGTGTAAAAACAGTTATAAGGACCACAAATTACAAAGTAAATACATATAAGAAAGACAACCAGTTAGAAGTGCTACCAAAGTTAGAAAATGAAGCAGATACAGACAAAAATCAGCCTAAAAAGCAAGGTTTTGAGGTTAGATTTAAAGCACTCAGGGTAGGTGACTCTGATATCACTGGAGATACAAATCCAGAGCTCTGGGGTGCAGCTAGAGAAGACCCTGTCACCCACAGAATGTAGATGTTCTTGAGGACAGTTAGAAGACCAGAGTCAGACGAATGAAGGTTGCAAGGTGGGGAGTAGACAGATAATAAGCCAGACAGGTACTGAATTAGGTTGAGGATTTTGAAGTTTACTCAAAACCTGATAGGAACCCGGTGCAGGGACTTGAAGATAAGCATAATGCAACCCAATCAGGATTCTGGCTCTCAAATTCTGAATATATTGGAGATTGCTCAGTGTGGATTTAATTACCCCAGTGAACAGGATGTGCAGTCATTAATTCTAGAAAAAGAAGCCCTTCTGGTTTCTCTAGTTCCCTTTAAATAAACTAAATCAGTGTGATGTTCCACAATGCAGCTTTTTTTTAATGCTACATGGATGGTATTTACATATTATGTTTGTGATTTAAACCAATTGATACAAGCAGTCTTTGAGGATTTAAATTAGGCTGAGTTATTGCAGGGTGCAAAGTATTAGGAGTTATTTGCAGGCTAGTAACAGCGTGTCTGAAGAGCTCTTGCAAAAAAAACCAACATATGCAAAATAACTGCATACAGGTATATTAGAAATGAATGCAAGGTATATGGATATTCAAGGTACAGTATGGTTAGAATAAGAGATGCCAGGTTTGCAGACACTGAAGGAGAAGGATAGAAAGGTTGAAAAAGAAGCAAGGGAGGATGTACAGACAAAAGATCTACTAGCAGTAGAGTTAAGTAAGAAGGGCTTGGAACACTGAGAAGGAGTAAATGAACAACTGAGAAGCTGGAATGTGGACCTGAAACATCCTGTAGTAACTGTATAGATGAAATGAAGAATGAAGAGGAGATGGGATAGGGATGAAAATTACAATGGGGTTTTCAGTTTTTCAAAGTAGGGTAAAGGTTTATTCTAGAATAACTGAATGGCTTAAAAAATGTTATTTGCAGGCTGCAAAAAATGGCAGGTATAGAAAGATTAGACAAAGAATGTTTGGTACCATCAGAACATGCAGTAGATGAAAAGGTTGAAAGTAAGTTCTCATGGAGCATGTTAAGACTAGAGATGTAGGTAGGAAAAAGATAATTTGGGGAAAGTTGAGGAATACACTGATAACAAGAACACTTCCTTAGAGGGCTAGGGATGCTTTTGACAGGACTCACTGAATATCCACTGTTGAATGTTTACATAGATACTGAAAAGAGGATTGTATTTTAGATTTTGTGTAGTTGCTAGCATCACACTGTGTGTTGGATGCACATAAATTGAAAGAATGGGCAAACATAGCTGATGCTGATCCAGAGCCAGCATCTGAAGATATTTATATTTAGAGGCAATTTATTGAATACAGACTAGTTATGGATACTGATGTGTCAAAGAAGTGGAAAAGCTGTTTTGTTAAGCCAGCACTATAAAATAATTTATCCTCAGTGAGATCCTGCCATCTCATAGTGGGTTTAATCACTGTGTATAGTTACACAATTCCTTTAGTTCCATCCATTTTCTAATCTCTTTATCCAGTACAGGGGAGCCGGAGCCTATCCCAGCAAGCAACAGACACAAGGCAGAATACACCCAGAATACATCACAGGGCAGACAAACAGACAGAAACACACACACACTCACACCAGTGTCAGTATTCCCATAAGCTAATTAACCTACCACTATGTAGGTACCTGGAGAAAAGCCACATGAACCCATAGAGAACATGTAAACTCACACATACTGTATGCCAGGAATTGAACCTGGGGACCCAACACTACAACGCTAATTTTGTAATTTACTTATTTTCCAATAGTCAGATTTAACGTACATTTGAACAATGGCGTGTATTTTAAATATTGAACTAAATGAGACATAACATTCAGAAATACAATCGAGAATAGTTTTGTGGTATTTGTTTTGATGACACTTTGCTAAAATGTATAAAAACCTAAAGGCGATTCAAATCTATAATCTTTCCACATGTCATGTCATTAGGAAGTACAGTAAGCTCCTGCTTTGTTTAACAATGGTTTAAAAAAAAGATGTGGTGTGAAAGTAACTATCCTTAATGATAATTAAAGGACTTAGAAGTCAAAGAAAATGATTTACATTGCTTAATTTTAAAAACTAAATTATAAAGTCAGACGCGATCTGTGCCTTAAGCATTCCAGGCTGTAGACGACTCATTCAGTATTACAGAGCTCCGTGCCTCCTCCCTCTCTTAGTGCCACCTCTTCTCTGAGGGAGCGCAGTAGGCTCTGTTTGGGAAAAAAAGACATACTGATCTGCTCCATACCATAGGAAGAAAGTAGAATATGATTTTTTTCTTTGTGTTTATGAAATTCAAGTGTTTTAATTGTTTAATTAAAAAGTAACTTTTTAGTGGGATTTGTATAGTATATATGGGTTGTGTGTGTGTATGCTGTTTAATGCTTCACAGTATTATTATTATTTTATTTTATGTGTTGTTATGCTTAAAGCCCTGGTTGTTGTTTTTTTCTTCAAATGGGAATGTTGTTTTTCTCAACTGTAGTGTGCTCTCTGAAGGCACCAGTTCTGTAGGGTTTGGGCATTTACGGGGACAATTATTAATTGTAGCCGTAAATCACAAAATGATTCTTTT